TTGCAATGGAATTGCCTGGTGGTTTATGGAGCAAATTTCCTGATTCACACATTTTCAGACCTTCCAATCTGAAGGTTGGTCATCTTAAATCTTCATCCACAAGAGTAGGAATATTCCAGAATGATATATGTGTCAAAAACCACCAAAGAAAGTGGACAGACACAGTGATAGGACACTTACCTTGTACATGGCAGACCTGGGCTTGATCCCCAACACTCCCCTATGGTGTCCCCAAGCCCCAAGTGCAGTGTTTCCTGAGCACAGAGCTAGGAGGAAGTCTTGGGCACTGCTGAGTGTTGCCAAAATAACTCCCCCCCCAAATTTTTAAAAAACGTTAAAGAAGTACTGATCAAGCCTCTGGTTTACTTAAGAGAAACATCTGCTATAAATAGCTAACTCCAAGCAAATGTTTTCTTTAATCCATCCATAAACGCAAACCCTTAAAATCAGGCAACTGGGCGTACAGAGGGGAGGGTGTTTATCTTTCACACATCTGACCTGAATCCAACCCCTGGCATCCCATAGGGTCCCCCAAGCAACACCAAGAGTAATTCCCGAGTGCAGAACCAGGAGTAACCCCTGAGCATCACCCGGTGTACCCTTCTCCCAAGGAAACACGGAATAGAAGTCACATATCTGGGGAAAGCCAACACAATCTGCCTTTCTTCTTTCTGTCTCTTGCTCTCCTGATGGCTCATCCAATGGAACCTCATTTGCTGGGTTGCGGGCGGCTCCATCCAGACAGTCTTGGATCACAGAATGAAGAAATTCTCTGGCCAAGGTCTGCAAACAGCCCCACACGGGGGTTTGGAACTGAACCTCCACACTCAAGTCTGGAGATGATGCCACCTGGTTGGTACCTCAAGAGAACCCTTCTCAGAGGACCCCTGAGTATGGCAGCCATGAACAAACTACCAAATAGACATGACAAACAATAATTTGGTCATGTGTCACTGTCATTCAGTGAAATTCATCAGTGATCCACTGTCACGGACTCTCAAGCCTGTGGGCATATCCTATGCCACAGAGAGCAGCAAAGGAAACTCTCTGATCCCTGATCATATCACAACTAATCCAAAGGTCATCATGAGAAGTCAGAGGATATTCTGTATGAGCTGAACCATTACATCGTGTTCTTCTATGTGGATGCTACTGGGTGGCAAATTCTGAGCAGGCATTGTTTGTGTCTTGTGTTACTCCCTGGGCATCTTTTTCTTACTCACTTTTTGGGAAGCTTTTCTGGAAACTTCTGGAAACTTCCAGAAGCTTCTGGAAGCAAGAGGCCACAGTGAACAGGCTAATGTTTCAGCCCATGGGGAATTCTGGCAAACCAAACAAGTGCAAATCTCACTTTGTCAGGGCAAAAGACATCATCTGTCTCCTGAGTCTCTTTCTGGGTCTGCCTGTGATGGAGTAACACTCCTGGTCTCTGGGGATTGGACAAAGTGGGCTTCAGCTACCACTGGACATCAGGAACATTTCTCTGAAGTGGGTCGGGGTGGGGGCAGGGGTAGGGAGGGTCTAGATGAAATTGCCTGTATCCCTGCTGGCCTCTCCTGGGGGTGCCATAGAAATAAAAACTATAGAAATAAAACGACTAGGAAGAAGAAATCTGATTTTAAGGGGCAGATGATGCTCTGTTTCAGGAGCCTTGGAGGGCTCCATAAATATACAGGAGTGTAGGATGACATTTTGTCCTTCCTGCATAGCCTCAGGTAGTTTAGGTTTATTGGGTTACTTCCATCACAGTGCTCCCAATCTTCTGTGTTTATTTGTAACTTCTTTCTTTGTGTTCGGTTGACTTGTAAATATTGTTTTTCTCTTCTCTCTAAGTTCACTGCATAGTTTATTCAGAGCAATGTCCTTTTTGTATGGACACAAGAAGGCAGTATATGCTATCCTTTTGTAACATGGGCGTTTATTGACTCAGTGATATTTTCCTCCTGGGCCTCAGCTGCCCTTACTTTCTAGCATCCCCCAAAGCAGGGTCCCGACGAGGGACCGTATGGAACCAGGGCAAACGGTAAGCTATGTCCTACCCTGGCATAGAGATGGACCTGGTCAAAGTGCCATAATGCTTAAGCGCTTGGTCATGGGAAAATCCAAAAAGTCATAACTAGATTCGGACCCTGCTAGGGTTACAATGATTAATCTGGCCTGAGCACTGTAGCCTGAGTCTGTGGCAAGATGTTCCCAGGAGAGCTGCCCTGCAAGCCTCAATATTATTTCTTACTGTATCCACACAAGAATAACTAGTATTAAGATGTTGATAGAGTTATTGGACTGAGGAAAGGAGAAAAACACCTTAGGAGGTATTTAGCCCTTGGGCAGTCAGGAAGGGCTTTGGAATACCTCTTAGGGGGTGTTTCCTTTGAATCTGGTGGGCCTCAGGAAGGACTTACTTATATTGATTTTGCTACCAGACTGGGTGCAGTGCCAACCCAGAGTGCTGGGGAGTTGGAGAGAAGAGAGTGGGAGAGTGAGAAAGAGCAGGGCAGCAAGATGGACCGCGGAGAGACGAGCAAGGGGGACAGAGAGAGAAGAATGTAGAAGAAGAATACAGGAGCACGCACGTGGAGAGAGAGAGAGAGAGCCCAGACTGCGAGATGGAGCACGGAGAGATGAGCGGAAGAGACAGGAGGAGACGGGAATGAAGGGCAGTGTGAGACTAGAATGGGAGACTCAGGGAGACGGGGGAGGCGCGTGGGGAGAATGGAATAAACGGCATCTGATCAATCAACCGGCTTGGCCCTGGCTTCCTCCATCGCCTACCCCAGGTCCATGGCTGCCCCAGAACCCGAGTGGCTAGGGGAAGAGCTTGTTGGGGCCTCCCCCTGGCTGTTGCCTGGAGATATTATACACAGGAGGATAGTACAGAAGGTAGGACATTTGCCTTGCATGCAGTCGACCATGTTTGATCCTGGCATCTCATATGGTCTCCCAAGGACTGCCAGGAGTAATTCCTCAGTGTAGAACCAGGAGTAACCCTGAAACATCCCGGGAATGACCAAAAAAAAAGATGCAGGAAGGAACTCAGGAGTCAAGGCCAGGGCTGCTTGTCTTGGCCCAGAGTCATAGTACAGCAGGTAGAGCACTTGCCTGCATGCTCCCAGGTTCAATCTGCGTTATCCCATATGGTCGCCGGGCACCACCAGGAGTGATTCCTAAATGCAGCCAGGAGTAACCCCTGAGCATCGCCATGTGGGGCCCAAAAAGAAAAGTGGGGGATGCTTGTCCTGCATGTACAAGGACCTGATGAGCATCACTGGGTGTAAACCTAGAGGTCCCCATCTTGCTAGACCAGACCAACCCCAGATGGTGGGACAGAGCATTCAACAGTCAGTTAGTCTGCTTGGCTGAGAAGCCTCGGGAGTGGTCCCAGGCTCCCTAATCCCTGCTTGGGATGTCCCTCTCATTTCCGCACCCCTCCCCCCACAAATTTAGTGATGTCCAAACTACAATAACCAAAAATTTTTAAATAAGCCTACTAAGGAGGGGTCTCAGGGGTTGAAAGGGGACATGAGGACATGGTTTGGGGGCCAGGGGGATGTTGGTGCTGGAACACTGTATTCCTGAAATTCTACCGTGAACATCTTTGTGAACACAGTGTCTTCATTTTTAAAATAGTAAGGGGCCAGAGCAATAACATAGCTGGGAGGGTGGTTGCTTTGCACATAACTGACCCAGGTTTGATCCCTGGCATGCCGTAGGGTCCTCTAAGACTGCCAGGAGTGATTCCTGAGTCCTGAGTCAGGAGTAAACCCTGAGCACTGTTGAGTATGGTTCCCCAAAAATGTACATGCTTGAAAAGTCAATGGAAGGAAAGAAGGAAGAAAGGAAGGAAGGAAGGAAGGAGAGTGGAAAGGGAGGGAAGGAGGGAGGGAGCAGAAAGAGAGAGAGAATATAGGGAGGAAGGAGGGAGGGAGAGAGGGAAGAAATTTTGTTAGGCAACAAAGAAGCAGGGGAAGCAAAGCATTTTCTCAGGCAGTTTATTACCATGACTCATGGGGACAGGAGAACCTTCCAACTATCCAAGTCAGCTTTCCAAATATTCCTACTTCAAAGTACAAAACCACATCATGACTGTCATACAAAGCAGGAAAGCAACAGTGAGTGGGCTGGGGGCCACCATGCCAGGTGAGAGTCCAACTCCACCTCGCTCCCTGCTTTGGAAAAGTGTGACGACTAGGAGGAAATGGTCCTCACAGGGAGTTTTGAAGAAAAATGAACTCATACCCATGAGCAGCGAGCCCTGACTCAATGAGGCTTCCTTGGGAGTGATTCCAGAATGGTTGACCCCAATTTACGCAGGAGAAACAGATTAGAGTGAGAGTTAGTGATGGTGGGTTGGCATTTGAGTGGACTTGCAGTGGAAGTGGGGAAGACGATATCCTTATTGATTCTGAAGGTTTCCATCCACAGACTGGGAATCTTGGGAAAGGAACTTTATGTATTTCTAACAAGGGTGGGAAACGGAGAAGACCTGGAATTGCAGAAGGAAGTTATAGAAAATACAGAAAATATAAGCCAGAGAGAGAATATAGTGGGTAGGATATTTGCCTTCCACTTAGCTGATGTGGGGTTCTATCCCTGGCATCCCATAGTTGTCCTCAGAGCATGCTCAGGAGTGATTCCTGAGCATCACCAGGTGTAGCAGAAAGGAAGAAAGAAAGAAAGAAAGAAAGAAAGAGAGAGAGAGAAAGAAAGAGAGAAAGAAAGAGAAAGAAATAGAAGAAAGGAAGGATGGAAGAAAAGAAAGAAGGAAAGAAAGAGAAAGAGAGAAAGAAGGAAGAAAGGAAGGAAGGAAAGAAAAAATGAAGAAAGAATGAAAGAAGGAAAGAAAGAAAAGACAAAGACTAATACATCCAATGGCTTGCCTGCCATCAGTACAGTAGACAAGAAGTCTGTCTCTGAGGGAGAAAATGACTCAGGGCTTTTAATCCCTCCACTGAACCAGCCTTGGGGACTAAAGTGTCCCCTAGTGATGCACTCGGGGTCCATCATTGACAAGAGATGGCTCGGCTGAGGAGCCTGCCCAGCGCACCTTTGACGTCCTTGTTCCTCAGGCTGTAGATGAAGGGGTTCAGCATGGGGGTGACCACCGTGTACATCACCGAGGCCACGGAGCTTTTCTCAGACACGTGAGTGTTTGCAGAACTCAGGTAGACTCCCAGACCAGTGCCGTAGAACAAGGAGACCACAGAGAGGTGTGAGCCGCAGGTGGAGAAGGCCTTGGACTTGCCCTTCCCAGAGGACATGCGCACCAGGGATGAGACGATCTTCGAGTACGAGTAGAGGATGCCCCCCAGGGGAACTATAATCAGCAAGACCGTAGACAGATACAAGCAAATGTTATTAATCAGGATGTCCGAGCAGGCGACTTTGAGCAACTGTGCCAGTTCGCAGAAGAAATGAGGGATCTCGGTGTCCATGCAGAAGGTCAGCCGTGCCACCAGGAGGATGTGCCACAGGGCCATGCAGATGAGGACCTGCCAGCACACAAGCACGAGACAGACACAGACGCGGGGGTTCATGATGACCGTGTAGTGCAGGGGGTGGCAGATGGCCACATAGCGGTCATAGGCCATGATGGTCAGGAGGATATCGTCCAAGCTAACGAATACCATGAAGAAGTAGACCTGCGTGAGGCAGCCCACATAGGAGATGGCTTGGCTCTGCATCTGGATGCTCACCAGCATCCTGGGGATGGTGGTGGTGGTGAAGCAGATGTCCACCAGGGACAGGTTGGAGAGGAAGAAGTACATGGGCGTGTGCAGGCGGGGATCGGAGATGCTGGCCAGGATGATGAGCAGGTTCCCCAGCACTGTGACCAGGTACATGGACAGGAAGATGCCGAAGAGGACAGGCTGCAGGTTCGGATCCTTGGAGAGTCCCAAGAGGAGGAACTGTGATGCTTTTGTCTGGTTTGCTGCTTCCATGGAGCCTTTGGATCTGCAGAAAAGTCGTGGTTGGGACCGAAGTGATGCTACAGTGGGGAGGGCACTTGCCTTGCACACAACTGACTGAAGTTTGATCCCATGGCACTTCAGAGGGTTTCTTGAGACCCACCAGGTGTGATCACTGAGCACAGCCTAGTATGTCCCTAAGCTTTTAAGCGGATATAAGGATACAATGATATCATAAATGCATAGAGACTGTCCCACAGTTGTTCCCTAAAAGGCGATTGGGATTATTGCTATGCTGACCAAGGGACACAGCTCTTAATTTAGTCCCCGTCGTCCCTCTGCAGAATTCTTTCCCCCTACCTGTGTTGTGATGTAATGACCAACACTTGTCAATGACACAAAACCTATCAGGACACAGTCAAGAAGATGCCTTACCCTGCCAGGATCTCCACATGATATTTCTGTCAGTGAGCACTTCTGGGACTCAGGTCCAGCTCGACTGACACCCACTTGTTTGCTGGCGACATCGCAGCATCCAGAGCTGACCCGGAGCTTCTCTTTATCTCCACCTGCTGAATATAAATAAAATGAATCGATGGCTGAAATCAAACATTGACCAAGAGTCCATCTGCATGGTGCCAACCAATGTCCGCTGCAAGGAGCGTGGACTGAAGGATGTCCAGACCCCACTGAAGTACAGAGAGGTCACAGTTGTTCGCGGGTTCTAAAATAGGGGACAGCAAATTACTTGTCTTGTTCAAAGGTTGTTGAAATAGGAACAAAATGGGGTACATCAGGAGCATTTTAACCTAACGTATGTCCTGGGGCTAATTCTCAAAGCTCCCAATTAAAAAGTTTCCTGAACTGACTCCTGGCTTTGCACTCAGGAATTACTCCTGGTGATGCTCAGGGGACCCTATGGAACGCCAGGGACTGAACCCTTGGGAGCAAAGCTGGAGCCTCACGTGCTCCCTCTCCCTCCTCATGACCTCCTTGTCTTCAAGATACCCTACGTTTCTGTGTTTAGGAGGATTTTCTTATTTCCATAACAGCACATTGGGATTGCAAATTGAGATTGTCTGCTTTTTTTGTTGGATGGGTGCATACCTATTAGGAATGATGCTTGCTCCTGTACAGTGAAATCTGTTTATTTTCTACCTGCCCTGGGGTTGGGAAGGGAGGTAGAAGGGACCTGGGGCTGTTGGTGAAGGGAAGGTCACACCAGGTGTGGGGTTGTTGTTGTAACATCGTGTGCTTGAAACAACTCTACTATGAACAACTCTCTACATTGCAGACACTTATTAAAAATCTTTTTAAAAATGCAGTTCTTGGGAAAAAGAAAATGGGAGGAATCAACCTACGTAACTTCAAACTCTACTACAAAGCAGTAATAATTAAAACAGCATGGTACTGGAACAAAGGCAGAGCTGCAGACCAATGGAACAGGTTGAATATACTAACATCTCCCCCAAACATATGATCATCTAATCTTTGATAAGGGAGCAGAAATGTGAAGTGGAGCAAGGAAAGCCTCTTTAACAAATTGTGCTGGCAAAACTGGACAGCTACATGCAAAAAATGGGCTCAGATCTCTGCCTAACACCGTGTACAAAAGTAAGATCAAAATGGAATTAAAGACCTCAACATCAGACTGGAATCCATAAGATACATTGAAGACAAAGTTGGCAAAACCCTCCATGACATTGAAGCTATTGGTATATTCAAAGATGTCATGCCACTGGCCAAGCAAGTGAAAACAGATAGGCAAATGGGACTACCTCAAACTAAGAAGCTTCTGCACCTCAAAAGAAACAATGACCAAAATACAAAGACAGTCTACAGAATGGGAAGTGATATTCGCCCAATACCCATCTGACAAGGGCTTGATATCAAGGATATACAAAGTACTGGCTGAACTCCACAAGAAGAAAAAATCCAATCCCATCAAAAAATGGGGCGACAAAATGAACAGAAACTTTCTCAAAGAAGAAATTCAAATGGTAAAAAGGCGCATGAGAAAATGCTCTACATCATTAATCATCAGGGAGATGCAGATCAAAACAACAATGAGATATCATCTCACACCACAGAGACTGGCCCACATCCAAAAGAACAAAAGCAACCAGTGCTGGCGCAGATGTGGCGAGAAAGGGACCCTCCTTCACTGCTGTTGGGAATGCAGACTGGTTCAGCCCTTTTGGAAAACAGTATGGACGATTCTCAAAAAATTAGAAATTGAGCTCCCATTTGGCCCAGAAATACCACTCCTGGGAATATATTCCAGAGAAGCAAAAAAGTATAGTCTGACATCTGCACTTGTCAGTTCATTGCAGCACTGTTTACAATAGCCAGAATGTGGAAAAGACCTGAGTGCCAGAGAACAGATGACTGGTTAAAGAAACTTGGTACATCTACACAATGGAGTACTATGTAGCTGTTAGAAAAGATGCAAACAAACAAATTGCTCCAGTGGCCCAGTAAGTCTCCATTTTGAGACTTTGTTGTTACTGTGTTTGGCATATTGAACACATCACAGGGAGCTTGCCAGGCTTTGCCTGGGCGAGATACTCTCAGTAGCTTGCTGGGCTCTCTGAGAAGGGCGGAGGAATCGAACCCGGCTGGACTGGGCTGACTGCACGCAAGGCAAACGCCCCACTGCTGCTCCATAGCTCCAGCCCTAGAAAAGATGAAGTCATGAAATTTACATATAAGTGGTACTACATGGAAAGTATCATGCTAAGGGAAATGAGTCAGAAAGAGAGGGATAGATATAGAAAGATTGTATTCATTTGGGGAACATAAAGTAACAAAATAGGAGACTAACACCCAAGAATAGCTGAGATAAGTACCAGGAGGTTTATTCCATGGCTTGGAGGCCAGCCGCATATGCTAGGGGAAAAGGCAGCTCAGATAGAGAAGGGAGCACCAAATAAAGGGTATTGGAAGGATCATCCCAGGATGGGAGAAGCATGCTGAAAGTAGACTATAGATCGAACATAATTGCCACTCAATGCCTCTTTTGCAAACCTCAGCACCCAAAAGGAGAGAGAGAACAAAAGGGAATGCCCTGCCACAGCAGCAGGGTGGGATGGGACGGATGGGGGGTGGGAGGGATACTGGGATCAGTAGTGGTGGAGAATGGGTACTACTGGTGGAGGGATGGGTACTCGATCATTGTATAATTGAAATCCAAGCACAACATTTGTAAGTCTACAACTGTACCTCATGGTGTTTCACCAATAAAAATTAAAAAAAATAAATTCATAACCAGCTTTCCCCTCCAGAAAAAAAAAAGAAACTCTTGGTCAGAGTGAGAGCACGGCAGGAGGACTCTATCGTTGCATGAAGCTACCCCAGGTTCAACCCGTGGCACCACCAGGTACTGTCCCTGAGCACAGAGCCAGGAGTCAGGCCTGAGTACTGCTGAATGTGGCCCCCAAACCCAAGCCAACCAACCAACCAAAAAAAGGGCAAATTGTTGATGAAATGTTGGCGGTTGAGAGGGCCCAATTCCGACCCCCGGTCCCATGTCATCAGTCTCAGTCAGTTACACAGGGAGCTGTGTGAGACCTTCAGCCCTGTGTGCGTGGACCTGGGTGTTCTATTATACACTAAGTGGCTGGGCAGAAGAATCTGGAAAAGACCCGAGTGCCCAAGAACAGATGACTGGTTAAAGGAACTTTGGTACATCTACACAATGGGATACTATGCAGCTGTTAGAAAAGATAAAATAATGAAATTTGCATATAAGTGGATCAACATGGAAAGTATCATACTAAGTGAAATGAGTCAGAGAGAGAGGGGACAGACATAGAAGGATTACACTCATTTGTGGAATATAAATTCACAGAATGGGAGACTAACACCCAAGGATAATGAAGATAAGGGCCAGGAGGATTGCTCCACAGGTTGGAAGTCGGCCTCACATGCTGGGGGAAAAGGCAGCTGGGATAGAGAAGGGGCCACTAAGTGAATGAGGCTTGGAGGGCTCCCTCAGGATGGGAGATACGTGCTGAAAATAGACTACAAACCACACATGTTGGCCACTCACTATCTGCGTTGCAAACCATAACACCCCAAAGGAGGGAGAGTAAAAGGGAATGTGCCTGCCACAGAGGCAGGTGGGGGGAATGGTGTGGGGGTGACGGGAGGGATACTGGGAACATTGGTGGTGGAAAATGTGTACTGGTGGAGGGATGGGTACTCGATCATTTTATGACTGAAACGCAATCATGAAAGTTTGTAAGTCTGTAACTGCACATCATGGTGATTCATTAAAAAATTTTAAAAAAGTGGCTGGGAAGACCCTGACCTTTGAGGTTCAGTGGATCTGGGGTGAAGACCAACAATGGACCTTCGGAACACACTCCCAGGAGTGGCGACTCGCAGAGGCAGACGCCACCCTGGACACCAACTCCGGGTCTGGACCTCAATTCTCACTTCTCATCAGGGCTCTTCCCTGAAGTTTGTTTTCCCTCCCTCTCCCTGGCATCTCAGGCTTTCCTGGCACACGTGGCTCTTTTAGAAGTCTCAAAAGCACCTTGGGGACATGGCAGGTCCTTTATCCTGTGTGACTATCTTCAGCACAAGGAGAGAATCTGTCAGTATTACAGATGGTCCAAGTGAGGCATTGGCAGTTTGGATTTTTTTTTTTGCTTTTTGGGTCACACCCGGCAATGCACAGGGGTTCCTCCTGGCTCTGCGCTCAGGAATTACCCCTGGTGGTGCTCAGGGGACCATATGGGATGCTGGGAATCGAACCCGGGTCAGCCACGTGCAAGACAAATGCCCTACCCGCTGTGCTATTGCTCCAGCCCGACAGTTTGGATTTTTAAAATTTATTTATTGCTTTTTTTTTTTGCCAAACCTGGTGGTATTCAGGGCTGACTCCTGGCTCTGTGCTCAGGGATCACTCCTGGCGGGACTCTGGGGCCTCTGTGGGGTGCCGAGGATCGGACCTGTGTTGACACATGCAAGGCCAGCGTCCTTCCTGCTAGTCTATCTCTTCCATCTGATTTTTTCTAACGTTCCTG